GTGTACCATTTATACATACAGTTTTTTTTATGGCAGAAATAGTAATAGTATGCTAATATGGATTTCAATAGTTTGAAATGCTAAACCCTGTCTAGAACAGTTTTAAATTATTATTATTTTTTTTTAAATGAACGTTAAGGTAAAAGTTTAAAATTGCATATTTTGTCTTATACAGACATATAAAGTTGAACCTAAAATCTTGATAGTTAGTGTCCATTTGTCTACACAGATATATCTGGACTAGATCTCCAACTTATGGCCTATGGAAGGTCTCCACCTATCTCATCTGTCTCATTTCTTCCTGCGGCTAGTGAATCTTCGCCTGTCTCTGGTAATAGGGTAGGACCGTGCCCCAGAAACAAAGAGGAGGGAGAGGGGAGAGCCTGACCGACCATATCACAGCCCAGCCATCCCCACAGAGTTGTTAATTCTCCTCGCCCTGCACCGGCACGAATGAGGGAAACATCATTCTCTATTCTCCCAGGTCAGAGTGGGAACAATTAAGTGTAGAGGGCGCGGGGAGTGCGCGGCGAGCCGGCCGACAGTTGATGAATGTGTGGGCAGGCTGCAAGTGACAATATGCAGACAAGCGAGATCATTTGCAAATGGATGCAGGGAGACACAATGAGGGAGCGAGAGAGACGCAGTGGCACGGGGCAGAACAGGGGGGAGGGTTTAACCCTTTGCCGGGTGTCTCTCTCAAGGAGAAAGGAGGCAAAACGGGACCAGGCCAGAAAATATCAATATGTTGGTCCGGCAATTTATTGAGGGTGTGAAATTCGATATGCACACGTAGACTTGTGATGTATCTCTTAAGGTGCAGAGAGCAAGTAAAATAAATGAGGTGGTCATGGACTGGTCAGGTTATTGGGCTGTTTTTGGGTCATGTTCATTTTGCACCTTTCATGGTCTCTAGCAGTCATAGTTCACATACAGTAAAAAGGACGTTTATGGTGAAAATAACAATTTCATTGATTTTTTTTTTAAATATTCAACATAATACTCAATACAATACTTTCAAGAAGATCTTGAACCAATTTAACTTTACAATAGCAATAAACAAGATTTTTGCATTTTTGAAGTATATGTGAGTGCTTGCCTCTATAAAAGTTCTGACTGGTTTATCATTTTGCAATGTGGTTTCTAGAGCATTCAGGATGGTTGCTAAGATGTTCAGTACTCGCAAACTAGTTTTTTACATTTGCACGGACAAGTACTACTCACATTTTCATGGGAAAAAAGTGGCACATTTCGAAAGCCTCTGCCATGATTGGTAAGATGTTCTAATTGGTTAACATGATGCTATGTGGTTGTTAATTTGTATTGGGAGGTATGCGACAGTAGGTGGTTGGTAAAATATTCAACACTCACAAACTAGATTATTTACATGTTCGTCAAAAAATGTGAGTCACTGCTATGATGCTAGTGTACTATGAGTGGTAGCTAAGATGTTCTGAGTGGCATGCTGCTATGTGGTTGTTAATATGTTGTGGGTGGTATGCTAGATGGTTGTTAGGATGCTCAGTACTCATAAACTAGATTTTCACTTTTCTGAAGAATGTGAGTAATACTTGTCTGGAAAAATTTGTTGACATGATTCAATAGTAGTTACTGTTGTTGCTATGTTGTTGTTAATGTGCTTTAGAGTGGTTGCTAAGGTATACTAGTTGGTTGCTAAGATGCTCAGTGCTCACAAACTAGATTTTTACATACAGACAAGTGCTACTCACATTATCTTCAGAAAAATAATCAACATAATTCTGCAGTGTTTAACGTGTTGCTTTGTTGTTGTTAGTGTGTTCTGGGTGTTTGCTTGCTGTTTACTTGCACATCTCTAGATATGACGTGAGTCCCTCCTAAAATCAATTTTTGCCGTTTTTGAGGATAATACTTGTCCATTAAAAAGTTGTTTACATGATTCTGCAGTGGTTAGGGTGTTGCTATGTTGTTAGTGTGTTTTGGGTGATAATTAAGGTATTTTGACATTTTCTGAAGATAATTTAAGTACTACCTGTTGTTTTAATGTTTTTGGGTGGTTGCTAAGGTATACTAGTTGGTTGCTAGGATGTTCAGTACTCACAAACTGGATTTTTACATTTGCACGGCCATGTACTACTCACATTACCTTTCAGTAAAAGTCGTCAACATGATTCAGCAGTGGTTGATGTGATGCTGTGTTGTTGCTGATAGAGTCTTTAAGGTGTTTGCTAAGTGTTTAAAAGTCTCTAGATATGACTTGAATTCCTCCTTTTAAGTAAATTTATGGGCTTGTTTTTTTCTCTTCGTTTTATCACCTGCCATGTCAAAATCATAGATCGCTTGGAAAGGTAATGGTACACCTCTCTTCAACAAAACAATTGTAGCACAAACAGTAAGCCACATTTTTGACTGAGTTTTTAAAGGCCAACAAATGCCGATCTAGACCTGTGGCAAGCAAGAGAAGTTCACTTAAGTTTATTCTCAAATTGCATATATTATTTGTACATGCGGTCAAAGCAGTCAAGCGATGTTCCGTCTCTCTCTTAAGTACGACTGCTTGTGTTGATGGGCAAAGGATGATCTGAGTCAAATCAAAGTCCATTACTCTAACAGTGATGGAAAAAGCAGCAGCGCTATCCAGTGTAATCTCACATTAATCATGCTCTCTCCTGATATGTTAATCCGACTGCATCTATATTTAATGTCGGGAAGACGTTCCCCTTGATACATCACTGAGGAGCTGTGGTAAATAGAGTGCTGTAGGGGTGTCAGAATATCCACACGGTTGACTCCTCGTGTGCTCCGAGCTCCGCTAATGAAAAAGAAAAGCCCCACGCGTTACAGGGAAATGAGGCAGTACTGAATGACTACAGACAGTCTTCAGCCCAGTCAAAGATGAAGCTCTACCTTTTATTCATCTATCTTTTCATCCACCACCCCCTCCTTTTGTTTCTCTGAATAACTTCATAGAAAAGACACTCTGTCTATCATGACAGAACCCTTCCCCCATGCAGTGACATTGGGCAATCAAACGAGGCTAGGTTTGTGTATCCATATTCATGCGGTGTGCGTGTTGCGATCTCCATATTAGGGTCTATGCACTGTAAGGCACCCGTCCTAGCGGTTTCCTCACCTCTCTGTGTCTTAATTGACCTCCAGGTGGAAAATGAGCTGTGGACAGCTGACTCCACACCTTCACTTACCGATCTGACATGTAGATCAATCACGGTGTTGATCCTAATACCCTTAACAAGGTGTGTCTGGGACTCAAAGGACATGTCAGCCCACTGTAGTGTCTTTCGTGGTCTCAGTTGTACTCTTTGTGTCCTTTTTATTGCAGTGCAGGTCCATGTTCACCTCATTATCTGCTTTGGATAGTGCTAGCCAGTAAAAGTGGTCCACCATGGAAAACAAACAGACCAGATCTTGTATGAAGATATGCAAGCAATGTCAAATATTTAAAAGGATGTAAGTCAGCTTACTGTGTGATTGCAAAACAGGCAAACAGAAGGAGAATTACAAGCTAAAATAAATTGTGCTTTATGCTGATCAGTAAGGTGATGATTCAGACTTCATTTCATCCATACAAACCTTGTGGGCACCTCTTGCTCCCGACTTCAACAAATTTGAGAAATATTACAAATCAGCACTGAATTTATTATTGTTATGTGATGTTCCCAGAAAACCAAGTATCCATTTAAACAAAGAAGTGCACTGTTTAAGCTCCGTTTTAGCATTTATTTATTTACACTATTGTTTAAAAGTTTGGGGTTTTAATCAAAGGAATTAATACTTTTATTCAGCAAGGATACATTCAATTGATCAAACGTTAAACAGTAAAGACATTGTTACAAAAGATTTTTAATTTAAATAAATGCTTTTCTTTTGAACTATCCATTTATCAAAGAAGCAGCACAGCTGTTTTCAAGATTGATAATAATAAGAAATGTTTCTTTGGTGAATCAGCATATTAGAATGATTTTTGTATGATCATGTGACACTGAAGAATGGAGTTACGATGCTGAAAAATCAGTTTTGCCACCACTCGAATAATAAAATGATATTAAAATGGAAAACATTTATTTTTAAATTGTAATAATATTTCACAATATTCATGTTTTTACTGTTTTTTTTTTATTTTTTTATCAAATATATGCATCCTTGGTGAGCATAAGAGACTTCTTTCAAAAACATAAAAAACTGCATTGACCCCAAATTTTTTAAAGATAGTGGACATTTTATACATTTTTTTGTATTATGTTTTTTTTTTGTATTATAATATAATAAAATGTGTGTTTTTACTGCAGAAGTCTTATAAACATTCAAGTAAAGTAAGTACAAGCAAATTATCTTGCTAGCCAAACAACAAACCTCAAAGTGTAACTAAGCAATTATGGTAAATTAGTTGAAGCACCTTTTTAGGAGTGTACTACCAATCCATTAAAACGTAGTTCTTTTTTTCTATCACTTTAATCAGATGCAATAACACAATCGTTAAACACCAGTGATTGGCTCCATAGTTTTAATTACTGTCATTGTTCGGAACTCCTCATCTGTATATTCAAACAAATGTGTCTTTATTAGAGAAAATGATGTGAGGAGAGCACCACATTTGTCCCACTGAATCCTGTCGAAGCGGAAAAAAATTCATCAACGTGAAATCAAATTAGACCGGGACAAACTAATATGACATTTCATTTTTATGAATAATTACTGCTTCAAAAAGTCCCCCGCGGCCTCCCGTGAAGGAGATCAAACTTTTAATGCTCTTAAAATTGTCTGCCATAATTTATTTATGGCATTTTATATACTTTGTTGCCTCAAGATCCCTTGAAAATACTTCATTGTATCTGGTGCAGCTTTCCCATAATAGAATTCTGGCTTGTGTCACATCGAAAGTGATAGAGAGAGCGTGTTGTGTTGTTTTCACTCGGTACATTTCTGTAATAAAAGAATGACATTTCTGAGCTGGGGAAAACTAATTTAGTCTTTGTGAGATCAATATGTGAGTGCACAAAGAAATGTTAGGAGAAGAGAAAGAGAAAATGGATGTCTTGGTTCTGGTATGTGGCTTTGAGGACCTTGACTTGTCTTCAATCTCGGGTTCTTTCTCTGGAGAGAATATACACATTAAAAGTCATGCTCTCTTTCAGGTGGACACTATGACCGCTAGACCAGCAAGCCCTCTGAGACCTAACAACATGCAACCTGGTGAAAGAACTCCTCAAGTGACCAGAGTCACCAATGCCAATCACTCGGCCTCTGTAGGAACTGTAGAGACAGAGAGGTGAGATGTTGTGTTACACCGCTCACACTTTGTAAAACAGTCCTGACATCACTGTTGCTCACTTTCACAATATTCTTCAGCGGTTCATTCACATTTTTGACCCTAAATATGCAAACACAGATTATTGTGAGGATCTTTGCAGCTAGAGCTGGGGTAGTTTGGCCTCAGATGAAATGTCGAAGTTTGATTGACTGGCATGCACACAGTTTTCAGATTCAAGATTCACAGGTCATACAAGGCTACTGCAATCAGTGCTTCAGAGGAAGAAATAACAGATTTTTTTGAGGTTCATGGCAATGAATTTTCTAAATGTATTATACTTGTACTGCATTCCAGACAACTGAGAATTGTTGTATACCTACTTAAAAATAACCGCTGGAACCACTCGAGGTCAGATCACCCCTAAATTCAATGAGAAGTGTAATTTGGTGTCAATTCAAGATGGTGGTGATTACATGCTCAATATGGAGACAAAAATGGATTGATTGATTGATTGATTTGTTTGTTTATTTGCTTTTACATTTTTGTTTTTACTTTGTCTGCAATGCAGCATTACTTCACTTATGACACATATGAACTTTGTACTCAGACTTTAGTAAAAAGAAGTGTAATTTGGTGTCAGTTCAAGATGGTGGTGATTACATGCTCAATATGGAGACAAAAATGGATTGATTGATTGATTGATTTGCTTGTTTGATTATGTATTTGTTTGTTTATTTGCTTTTACATTTTTGTTTTTACTTTGTCTGCAATGCAGCATTACTTCACTTATGACACATATGAACTTTGTACTCAGACTTTAGTAAAAGTCTGTTTTTAGAGCCACGGAAAGAGCAGTATAATACTTAATTTTAGTATTATTTATATACTGGTATATTATATTTTTATATTTTCAGTTTTCATTTTAATTTGTAATTTTGTAATAATTTTGATAGGTGCTTTTTGTTGGTTTTCTTTAGTTATTTTTTCTGTAGCTTTATTGCTATTTCAGAATAGTTTAGTAATTTTGGTACTTTAGTACTTGAAGTTTTTAATCTATATTTATGTTTTATTTCAATTACAGAAACCTATTTTTAATAGTTTTAATTAATAACAAAAACAATAATACGGTAAAAGATGAGAATAAGTAGTTACATTTTTCTCATTGTTATTTTCATGATGATGATGATGGTAATAATAATACTAATAATAATAATCCTTATTAATAATAAAACATGAATTATTGTTCCCCCCCCCCATTTCAGATTAAATGACTCCTAAACATGTGACGGCTAACTTTAAATGTCTGTTTCCAGTGTAATTGGACAGTTCTTGGATAGAACACGTTTTAATGTAGATCAGGCTTTATGCTGATCATATGCTGGTCATAAGTCTGGCAATGCTAGGCTACAGCTGCAGTATCAGACTCTCCTTCACCTTTTCCTGACCCCCTGTAGTCAAACACTCTGACCCTGAAAAGGAGCACCAGTCCCTGAGGTGTGATTTCAGCTCCACTGGCCTCTCCTCATCGGCTCTGCCTTTACGCTGAACTCTCTCCCCTCTTCCTCTGCATTCCTCTTCCACAGACATTCGTCCTGACAGTGGGATGAGTTGGCCAGCTTGAAAGCCAGCGTGCCACAAGCCATCTCGTCTTCCTCTCCTTGGTACGTCCACCTGAGCGGCCAGCGCGTGTTTCAGACGGGGCCCCTCGTCCCCTTCACTGGTCAGCCGGCTCACTGGGTCCTCTGTTTCTAGGTCAGGGTGGCGGGAAAGTGGTTGTGATGCAGATATGGTCGGACACTAAAGCATCTCCCGTTTTCCATGAGCGGACTGTGAAAAGTGCAGTTCACCGGTGCGGTGTGAAAAATCATAGCTGATCAAAGGTGAATGTGGCATCACCTCGTCTCTCTTCCTCTCTGTCTCTTCTAGCTCAAGGAGAAGAAGTGGGGCAGGACACAAGATCTTTCTTAATGGATTTTCACAAGAAGACCAGAGACTGACCGGGCTGTAGAGTGTCACACATCGAAAAGCTCTCAGTACTTTACATTCTTTTTCATTTTATGCCATGAAAGAATAGTTCACCCAAAATGTGAAATTCTGTCTTCATTAACTTCATTTGCCTTTATTTCTTCTGAGGAACATGAAAGAAGATGTTTTGCAGAATGTCCTGGCTTCACATGTCCATACAACAAAAGTGAATGGTAAAGAGCCCCACAAAAGACAGAAACCAGACAAAAATGTAATATAAGATATGCAACTCATGTCTAAAGCCATTCAATGTAGGGATGCACTGATATTAAAATTCTGACAAATAACGATAGGCCAATAATTATTTTCATGTTATGGCTGATAACCGATAAATTGTCTGTTACAATTCTATATTGTTGTCTAAATGAAATAAAAAAACACTGAAAACTAAAAATCAATCATTTTAAATGTTACAAGTGAATGTAGTCATTACAACATTTTAGTGTACAATATGTAAAATGGATATTTAAGATTTTCTAAATATAAAAATAGGTGAAATGATCATGGACAATTAAATTATACAATACCAGTCAATGTATTTATATCTATCTACTGACACTGATTAAAAAACAAAACATATACACTGCCGTTCAAAAATGTGGGGGCAGTACATTATTTTTTTATTTTGAAGAAATTTAATATTTCTGTTCAGCAAAGATGCATTAGATTGACTGAAAGTGGAAGTAAAGACATTTACAGTATAATTTTAGAATTTAATTTCCATGTAAACACTTTTCTTTTGAACTTTCCTATTTATTAAAGAATCCTGAAAAAAAATGCATCACGGTTTCCACAAAAATATTAAGCAGCACAACCTTTTCAACATTGATAATAATAAGAAATTTTCTTGAGCAGCAAATCAGCATATTACAATGATTTGTGAAGCATCACGTGACACTGAAGACTGGAGTAATGATGCTGAAAATTCAGCTTTATCATCATAGGAATAAAGTACATTTTTAAATAAATTCAAATAGAAAATGGTTATTGTAATAATATTTCGCAATATTGCTTTTACAGTATTTTTGCATTACAGTATTACAGTAAGGCAGAACCAATATACAATACATCCCTAATATGATAACTTTGTGTTGGGACAATGTTGCTTCATTAAAAATACCACAAGCTATGTTACATTGCTAGTTTTTATGAAAAGTTACATCAACTTTTGCATTACTACTTCTGTCTGAGACTCACTCTCTCCTCCAGAGTGGAAGTGCACTCAAGTCATAGGGACTGCTTTAATGGAAGTGGTTTAATGGCTACTTTCTTTTCATTTTTTGGGTGAACTATTATAATAATGGGTAAAATGATAGCCGAAAGGTCAATCATAGCTCAGCAATCTGCAAAAACCGAAGCCTTGGAGACTGGCAGTTTATGTTGTCTCTGAACTTGCATATAGTGTAAGTACCACACAGCAGGAACAAACCTCTAGAGAATGATCACAATAGAATTGTGCGTGTCTGCTGTTTACAGAATCAGCGAGCACTTGTTATAATGAGTTGAACTGTTATTAGTAAAGCATAATTACATTAAAATTGATACAGGCTCTCGGCAGCATGAGCCTTCGATGGTAATTCTCTCTATTCTTTGCTGATAGGGCACGACGCCTGTTGACATAGCAGTGCTCATTACTGCTTGATTAAAGACTTGTACTTTAACAGGAATTAGGCTCCTGAACTGTACACAGATACTCTTCATCTATTATTCAGTAGGCAATTAATATTTAATTGTGCTTTCATATTGGTGGAATGGCAACCTTTTAAATGTGACTGTGCTACCTCGACTGCTGTTAATTAAAGAGAGTGGTGCTAAGCACACACACCAGCAGGAGTTATGAACAGAACTGGCATTAGACGGGCTGGAGCAATCATACAATGGGGTTGTTAAGGCTCTGTACAGGACTGACTGCTTGTTGCCTTTGCAAATAGCTCTATAATACCTAAATGATACAAAGCGGGAGTGCATATTTTAGTTAAAAGATTATTCCCCTTCGACTACTTACTTATTTGTTTCTCATACAACAGAGCACAATGGCTTGTCATTTTCACCATTATGAAGCATTCAACCAGAGGAGGGCAGTAGTGGGTAGTTAATGAGTCAAATCCTGTAATTAATGAAGGTGTCCAGCTCAATTCTGATCTAAAAGCTGAAAAAAATTAATAATAATAATAATGCATGCATTTTGACTGTGGAAAAATACAAAAACACTTAGCAGGTGGTTTGCAATTTCTTCTTTTTGGGCCACCAAAAACGTTGATAGCAATGGATATTGATCTTGTTTATGCTGTTACTTAACTTATCAACTTATCATAAGCATCATTTATGCTTTATACTATATTATTATTATTATTGTTATTATTGCATTTTTAAAATGATTATTATTTACTTGTGTAATGATAATAATGATTATATTTTTTTTGCCATGGCCAATTTAGTCCCCACCAATTTAATTTAATTCATTTATTTTTTTAATGTTTACATTTTTGTTTTTAGGTTTTTAATGTTTTGTGGCATATTTGCTGTGGTAAATAAACACTGTCAGACCTAAAAGAAAATATTTATTTATTTATTTATGTATTTATTTAAGATATCAGATAAAATTATATCATATGCAAAAATATTACGGATTTGTTTAGCATTTTCAACCCATTCTTATTGATGTTTCCCAGGCAAATCACTCTCACAATTTTTAACATATCTTCATCTGTGTCAACCAGGCAGATAATGTTAGCTTGATGACATTTTTGCATCAGCAAAAAAACATTTGCTGATTGTTGAAACATAAAATTGCCGTCAACTGGCCCGACACTTTCTCGTTCTTGCCCCGGGCCTGGTTTTCTCACGCTCAAAGCAGAAATCTTATCTCTAGACCAACAAGTCATTATTTTTTTTACTCCCTACTATTTTTTAAAACAAAGTGACATTCATTTAACATATTACATTGATAATCACAAAGAAAATCTATTTGGAATTAAAAAAAAGTGTGTGAA